GCGGACGACGCGCAGCGTTTAATTATCCAGATTTCCGGCATTGTAGTTCCATGTAGACACCTGATAACAACCTGCTGCGGTCTTTGGCTGTTTGAGGTTCGGATTCAATCTGTTTCGGTTGAGGTTCGAGTGTCTGGTATGGGTAGTCCTGAACCCAAAGGCCTAGAACAGAGAGAAACACCGACGCATCCAAAAACACAAAAAAACAACCTTAAATCCTAAACCTGCACAGCAGGCCAGAAACTCCTAAACCCTAAATGCACCAAACAATCAATCCCCAAACCAGAAGCCATGTGAAACGGGGTCTGCAGGGTATGCTGCATGACTCTAGGACTACAGTGAAGTTACAGGGACTCACAATGCAGAAACCGAAACTGCTGGCACTCATGCTCAGAACATGATATACATCCTACATTACCTTAAGGACCCTAAACTATGGAAACTATAATGTATTTCCTATTGTGGGTAAGGGTAATGCAGGATTTATACCATCAACCGTAGTGGCCGTCATTAGAATAGAGTTTCGGGTGGGGCGGGGTATATTTTACTGTAAAGGACTACGAATTATTCAGGCTGCTAAACCACTCGATCCAAGTGACCCAAGCAAACGACTCCCCGTCGTCCCTTAAACCCTGTAAACCTAAGCCCTAAGCCCTCAAGCCCCCCGGGCCCCCACACACAAAAACAAAACAAGAAACACCCCTAAACCCTAAACCCTAAACCCTACAAACCCTAAACCCTAAACCCTACAAACCCTAAACCCTAAACCCTAAACCCTATAAACCCTAAACCCTAAACTTTGGCCGGAGGTCCTTTTGCTTCACCGCGTCACTTTCGTATCGCCTCAAGTTGGCTGTCCAGGGTCTTCAGGGATTGGGGCTTAGGCTTTCGGGCTGAGGGTTGAAGGTTGAGGGTTGAGGGTTGAGGGTTTAAGGCTTAGGGTTTTGGGTTGAGGGCCTAGGGCTTAGGGCATAGGGCTTGGGGTTTAGGGTCTGAGGGTTAAGGGTTGGGGGTTGAGGGTTTAGGGTTTAGGGTTTAGCGCTGACGGTTGAGGGTTGAGGGTTTAGGGCTTAGGGCTTAAGGTTGAGAATTTAGGGTTGAGGGCTTAGGGCATAGGGTTTAGGGTTTAAGGTTTAGGGTTGGGCTGAGGGTTGAGGGTAGAGGGTTGAGGGTTGAGGGTTTAGGGTTGGAGGTTTAGGGTTTAGGGTTTGGGGTTCAAGGTTTAGGGTTTAGGGTTTAGGGTTTAGGTTGCGGGCTTATACTTCCGGCGTAGGTCTTAGTTTAGGTTAGCAAGCCGTAGGGCTGCAGATGGTATCAGGCCTGGGCATTTCGGCATTTGAGATTCCTAAACCTTGAACTCTAAACCCGAAACGCTAAAAACCCTAAACCTGGAACTCTAAACCCTAAACCCTAAACCTTGAATCCCAAACCCTAAAGCCTAAAGCTTGAACGCTAAACCCAAAACCCTGAACCCGAATTTCCGAATCCGGGTCCAGGACCCTAAACCCTAAACCAGAGTGGGGCATGCAGAGTGGGGTTTGAGTTTAGGGTTGTGGTTTGGGGTTTCGGGGTGAGGGTTGAAGGCAGGCAGAATGGGACATCGTGGCGTGTGAGCTTTGTGAAATCTTCCCGGGTTCGGGGTCGTTCTGTTTTGGGGGGGGTTTTGGGTTGCGGTTTAGGGTCGAGGATTAGGTTATAGGGGTTTAGGATCCGTGGAGGCAAGGGTTGATGGTTGCTGGGCGGTGGTCAAACTAATAATAATCAGGGTTTGGGGGGTACATTGTAAGTACCATAAGTAAAACAAGGAACCTTAATGGAATAGTCTTGGTAATTACTCAGCCTTCTCCGCGTTAGAACGGCCTAAACCCTAAACCCTAAACAACCCAGACCTCCAAAACCCAAAATTTCCTAAGCCCTGAAAACGCCCAAACCCCAGAGCCCAAACGCCATGGCGGAAAGAGCCCTGTGCACAAGAAGTCGGCGCCAAAGCCCAACCCTAAACCCTAAACTCTAACTCAGGCCCCTAGATTAACTTCAACGAAATCCTGGAGCCTGAACGGCAGAACCCGAAGCCAAAACCTTCAAAACCTAAACCCCCTACAACCTAATAATAGGAACCCATGGTCTTCATTCGGGTTTCGGGTTTAGGGTTAGCGGATTCTTACAAGGATCCTAGTATTTGGGGGTTGTAGGGCAAGGGTTTCTGAATCAGGTTCCTACATTAGACCAAGTTTCAAGGATTAGGCCTTCGTATGAAAGCTAGAAGCCCTTCTGACTACAACACCCTAAGCCCCAGCCGATACCCAAGAAACCCTCATCCTTTTTCCCGTGTCTGTCCCCCACAGCCTGTACACTGAGGACACGATCCTTTGAGAACCCAACAACCCGATACTTTGCAATGCTGCTGTGTCCCGTTGTGAGCGGCTTCTAGGGTGTCGAGTGCCTTTTCTCTTGGGGGCTCAGCGCTTAGGTTATCGGTTTAGGATGGAGGGTCTTTTCTCACTATGACTTCGGAGGTTTCGGATGGGGTTGGCTTGGGTGGATTGGCACAGCCGCGATGGACCTGTACAAGTCTGCACACCGGGCTGGCAGACACGGAGACGCCACAAGAGTGTTCAATTCAATGTTCCGCCCCGATCACGCTCCAATCGCTGATGCTCCGGAAGGTCCTGGGCGAGTCCCTAAAACCCTAAACCCTAAACCATTCGGAGTTCGGGCTTGACGGTTTGGGTTTGGGGTTGAGGGCTAAGGGTGAACGGCTTGGGTTTCCGATGGTACGGAAGGCATGAGACCTGTTCAAGAGGGTTTAAGGTTGAGGGCCAGGATAATCGTTCTGAGAGTTATATCCTTGGCTTGACTCACTCGGCGGTTGCCGTGCAATACTCTCACGATCTACGTCGAATCTACGGTCCCCTGTATCCCCGCAGCAAAACGAGAACCCCGTTTGACTACTTTTCAGTTTATGGAGGAGAATGCTCCCAACACAAAGCACTTGAAGAGGATCAAAGTTCGAGTTATGTTATACTGTCAGTATATACGGACTACAAGGGGATAACCTTACAAAACATTTTATTAGCTTGGGGTTTAGGGTTTTGGGGTTTAGGGTTTAGGGATTCGACCGAGCCATCATGACATAGCACATCGACTGCAAGGCGGACCCAGTGTCAGGGACGTGCGGTGCCCTCGAGGCAATGCTGCGCCGCGCCAAAGCAGCGCTGGTGCGGGTGTGATTGCATGTTGCCAGGACCATCGTGCGTCCTCGCTTCCCAACATACGGTATGGGGTCCAGGGCATCAGCGCTTCGGGCATCGGGGAGTATTGCCAAAGGGTCTAGGGTTTGGAGTTTACGGCGTTGGGGGTCTAGATAAATCAATTTTTCAATTTTGCTGGATGTCGTTAGAACCTGTGAGCAGCGGGCTTGAGCTCAGCACAGTCAGTTTGCAGCTTCGGCTTGGTGGCACTAGCACTGAAGGGCTGTGGCAACAAGGAGATACGTCCATAATGAATTACGAACCGGCCTAAGGCAGGTCACGTGTACAATTCGTGACCATGGAACCATCACACCCTCAACCCTAAACCCCTCAACCCTAAACCCCAAATCGTGGCCCTAAACCCTAAACCGTAAACCCTAAACCTTGGTCTGTCGTCCTCAAGCTCGGGCCGACCCCTCTTGACCCATGACGGGGGAATAGGCCCCGGTTTACGGTTTGGGGTTCAGGGATCAGCGTTTAAGGTTTAAGGTTCAGGGTTTCCGGGCTGGATATTAGGACCGAAACTTCATGTCTAAAGAGGTGCCATACTCGCTGGCTGACCCAAAGCCTGAAGCTGCTAACAGGCCTCAATCTAAAGCAGTTTCAACAAACTATCAAAAGAAAACAAACGACTATGCTAACGATACGGATGTTCATAACAATAACACTATCAACAATAGTAGCAATAACGTTGTGAACCATGGTGAGGATAAAAAACATCTGTAAAAAAAACTCAAGGCACATGCATGCCGAAGCTCCGCCGTCAGAATGAGAACGGACCGTGGCTCCAAGAGCACTGCCCGGACTTCCCCGCTTCGAAGGCACCGGAAGTCCATGATGGTCCGGCTGCGCAAGGAGAAGCCCACTACCACCTCCACGGGGACTGAGAGAAGAACGGTTTATGGTTTAAGGACCCTAAACCCTAAGCCCCAAACCCTTTCCCTTAAAGGGCTTCAGCGGTATAGAATCCACAGGGTACCCCCTTAAGCCATGTGCAGCAAGCACAAGCTACTTATTCACACAGAGGGTTTGAGAGGTAGTCGCGGTATCAACCAACATGATGACTGTACACGGTTACATAGAATCCTACGCTTGGCACGATGCAAAACAACAAGCGTTTGCCTTAACGAAGCAGTTCAGGCTGGGGTAAGCTGCTGCGCTTCAGGTCGTTTAAAAGTGGGCTTCAGTTTTCTCTTCCTGGCTCTTGTTTGGGGTGCGAAGAGCAAGGTCAAGAACTACGGGCCCAAACCATTGAGTCTGGAGTCAGACTCCCGGACCTTCCAAAATCCTTGAATTAAGGAATATACCTTAAGATATGTAAGGGATCCCCAACAATTAATCAAGGGATATTGGGCTGATAATCGAAGATGATGAGACAAAAACAGCCCCACCAACCCCGCGATAAGCTGCAAGCATGCTTTGCGCACAATCCGCAAGCCTGAACCCCGATACATCAGAGGGCTTTCTGTGGTGTTTTTAAGTGGTTATAAGCCCTAAACCCTACTCTCGTAGTTTTGGGGTAGGCGGGCGCTGGTCGAGCGATCAGCGAGACCCTGACCAGAAACCCCAGGCGGGCGCCAGGCTTGCCTACCCTTCCAGGCATGCTATCCAAAAACGCACACTGCAAGCCAAAGCTGCTTTTGGCTGGTTCCTTTCCCACCCCCCAGCAGGGTCTGGAGCAACCCGCTGTCTTTGGGCTGGCTGTCCATATTGCTGCGGGCCCGCAGCCCGACCGGCCCGGCTCCGTTCCCTGGTGCGGCCCCGAAATCCTAGCTAGTGTGGCCAGGCTTCGCCCCAATGCAGCCTTCACAGAAAACTTCAGTAACAACATTGCGAAGATTCGGCGCCGAAACCGCACTCCTTCAGCCGTGCAGTATTCTCGGCTTACTTGTGCGAAGAAACACATAAAGCCGCTTGCTCTGAGAATTGTAAGTGGGTGACCTTGGGGCGGGTAAGCCTGCAGGCCCACGCGCGCCCAACAAAAGCGCACTTCCGTTTGGCACACCCTAAACCCTCAACCCTTTTTTTTTAAGTTCACGGTTGAGGGTTCCCAAGCCCCTCCGCCTCGCCGAAGAACTCACGATCTCGGTGGGCCTTGATGCCTTGACCACCAACGTAGTCGTTGACGATGCACCTTGGAGAGTCGCAGATTTGGGCCTCTGACGGGATTTTAGGCTTTTCGGGTTGAGGGGCCTTTTAGGGGGTTTAGGGTGGAGGAGAGCCGTTAGGGGGTTTAGGGTTGAGGGTTTAGGGTTATAGGGGCCTTTTAAGGGGTTTAGGGTTTTAGGGTTAAGGGTTACGTGGCCTTTAAGGGGTTTAGGGTTGAGGGTCTAGGGTTTAGGGCTTAGGCCTTTAAGGGGTTTAGGGTTGCGGGTTTTAGGGTTTAGGGTGTAGGGAGCTTTTATAACAACCCGGACCCAAAGGCGTAAAGGATTGCCACGCCCAGAGGAAACTACACTGCGGTTATACCGGATTCTGGCCGCAGAATCTAGTCTGTCGAAATCCAATAACCTTAAACCCTACAAACCATATAACGTGATAGCTACATGCTACGGTTGATGGTGTAAACCCTGCATTACACATTACACTCGGCCAGACAGTATAAGGAATATACCATAATTCCCATAGTTTGCAGTAATGCATTTATATCATCAACAGGAGGGCTCCCTTCTAATGCCCCGAATCGGTATAGAGTAGTAGCGAACAAGCTGACCTTGGAGGCTTCCGTGATTCAAGGCTTTGGGTTCAGGGTTTAGGGTTTTTTTAGGGGGTTTAGGGTTTAGGGTTCAGGGTTTAGGGTCTAGGGTTCAGGGTTTAGGGTTTGGGGCTGAGGGTTGCCGGATAAATACTGCCAAACCCTAAACCCTAACGCCTAAACCCTAAACTCTGTACTTGGTCTGGGCTTTGGAGAAAGTCCCCAAAAGAAGCATTCAAGCATGGTACTCCAGAACCGACTACTGGGCTCTTGTTGACTTGATTTAAGTTACTATCATAGGGATCTATAGTTAAGCAAAGGTTTCCTTATTATGATTTTAAGTTACTATGATGGGATCTATAGTTAAGAAAGGGTCTGCTTATTTATGGTAGCCTAAGTTAAATCCCTGAACAAGAACCCAGCCTAGCACGACCAGGGTGCTGGTCGAAATCGGGACTCTCCAGATGCCCCTCACAGACCAGACGGTTCAGGACGGCCTCGGGCAAACGTGGGTAGCTTGAGACCGGTTTAGGGTTTAGGGGTTTCAGGGTTTTGGGGTTTTTTAGGGGTTTAGGCTTTTTAGGGTTCCTAGACCCGTAACCCTACTGGTTGGGTTCAGTGGCTGAACCTGAGCGTCACATCCGACGGCTACAGTCAGCCCTACGTATGGTCCCTTTTGGGGCTCTCTAAAGGGATCTATAAGGGCGGGTACTATGAGGGTTCAATTTATTTGGGCAGTTCTTTTAATTAGGGCTTTTTTCATAAGGGTGCCGCACATTTGAGGGACCTTAAGAAGGGACCCGAATTTAGAGAACCTACCGACATACATTCGGCTGATCCGAACTATAAGGTTACATGTAGCCTACTTTGTGCTTGCCCTGAGCCACCAACTACACAAGATCAACGCTTCTCGCCCCTGTGCCTGCGAGCAAGCCGGCATCTCGCTTCGCGGCGGATCAAGCTTTGCCAAGGCGTTGGTGTGCCGGTTGCGCCAGTGGAACCCGTAGACATACCTGGGGTGCAGGATCATCGCTGCAGCAGCACTTTTCTTAAGCTTCTACTATCGTAATGCTGTGGCAACGCTCTAGTCATATATACCCTAAACCCTAAACCCCAAACACAACCCTAAACCCTAAACCCCAAACCCTAAACCCTAAGCCCGAGCACCTTGAAAATGGGGAGACGTGGATCCTACCCTATGCTGCGGGATTCGAAGGAGCTCAGAATTCGGGCCCGGAGTTTTGAGGATCGACGAACTCCACTGCCGGATACAACGCGACGAAACCTCGTGGACAATCACAATAACATTAACAATCGCCATAATAATCATAGTAATAACAATAATAGTAATGATATTCATAACAATTGTATTGATAGAAATAATGGTGCTGTGTGAGGTTGCTCCCTCGCGATCCGGAAACGACCGCGTCCTGCTTTCTCTGACCATTCAGCCCCACAACGTGAAAGCCTCCACTCGATACACCTAAGCCTGAAAGTGAGAAGAACACACAACCAATATCCATATAATGCAAAGGACAAGGAGTCCGTAAACGACGAAGCTGACAGAGCAATACACTTCGGCCATGCCGCTGAATTTCTCTGCAATGCCCATGCGCACCCTGCCATCGACTTGAAATCATCCCGACCTCAAAAGACTGCAAAAAGTCCCTAAACCCTAAACCTTACACCCTAAAACCCTGAAGCCCTAAACCCTTTGGGCAGGCCAAGCGGCTGCTGAGTTCGCCGGGACTTGTTGTCCCCGTCCCAAGCCGCTGCATCCACGGCAGCCAGTATGTCCTGCTCCTTCCAAGGTGTTGTGCTGCTTTGCTTGCTGTGCTCATGGAAGGGGCAGGGGCCATGATTTCAAGGCGCATGAAGATGATGATAGTGATGATGGTGATGGCGATGGTGATGGTGATTGCGATGGTGATGGCGATGGTGACAGGTGTGGACATGGCAATGGTGTTTGTGGTGGTGATAGCGATGGCGATGGCGGTGAGGGTGAGGGTGAGGGTGAGGGTGAGGGTGAGGGTGATGATGATGATGATGATCGCAACTGCGAAACTGATGACCGTGGTGCTGGTCCTGATGATGGTGCTGGTGGCGGCAGCGGCGGCAGTAGTGGCGATGCAGGTGCGGGTTGACTGCTGTAGCGATGGAAATGGAGGCGATAACGTTGAAAATGCAGATGAAGATACTGTTGTTAATATAAATCCTGCATTACCTTAAGGACTCCAAACTATGGGAATGAAGGTATATTCCTTTAATGGGTAATGCAGGATTTATTCCATCAACCCTAGTGGTGCTAAAGATGCTGGTCCGCTAGGCGATGGTAGAAGAATGACAGGGCAGATCAGACGATGAGGATCACGAAAGCTGGGTGTCCTGGGCCCGATACCCTGCTTGAACCCCTTCATTCGTAAAGCTCTCAACCTAAACCCAAACCCTAAACCCTAAACCCTAAACCCTTAATTAAGCGTAAACCCTAGCCCTAAACCCTACACCCTGAACCCTAAACCCTAAACCCTAAACCCTAACCCTAAACCCTACTCCCTAAACCACACACCCTAAACCCTAAACTAAACCCTGAAGCGAAATGACGAAATACGAAACTCAACCGATCTGTGTAGGCTCTTAGAAAGCGCCTCTTGAATTGTGAGGAACTCCGGGAGATAGATCAAGCCTGGGACACATCCGCGTTTAGGGTTTCGGGTTTCGGGCTTAGGGCTTCTTTAGAGTTTGGGGTTGAGGGTTTAGGGCCCTTCCCCTGTAGGGTAGAGGGACTCTCCCATGCGTCTCTGGCTGCGTCGAGCACAGGGTGTGCGTCCGAGAGTTTGGCTTTGGAGATTCGGACAGAACCCAGAATTTGGCTTTAGGGTTTAGGGGTTTTGGGTTTAGGGTGATTTTTTTAATGGTTTAGGGTTAGGGTTTAGGTTGCTTGTTGTCAAACGGGGACTTAATGCAAAAAGTGCAGAATGCACAAAACTTGGGAATGATCTCCTTCTCTATTGGAGTCGCTTGAATTTATGTCCTTCAACTGGCACCAACCACATTAAGGGAGCATGGTGTGTGACATCTTTCTCCTACCGTAAGGGCTTAGGGTTTAGGGTTTAGGTGCTTGTCATTGAATAGGAACTTAATGCAAAAAGTGCAGATTGCACAACACCTAGGAATGATCTCCTTCTCTATTGGAGTCGCTTGAATCATGCCCTTCAACTGGCACCAACCACATTAAGGGAGCATGGTGTGTGACGTCTTTCTCCTACCGTAAGGGTTTAGGGTTTGGGGTTTAGGGTTTATTGGGCTGGCCTCTTCAACAGGAGCAGTAGAACAGACCACAGAGCGCAACCTCCTGCCCGACATGCAACGTGCTGAGCTCAACCCTAAACTTGAACCTTAAACCCTAAACCCCAACGCTGAACCTAAACCCTAAATCCCAAACCCAACCCTAAACCTAAACCGACCCCAGATGATTCGAATCGCAAAACCTTGCGACCCCAAACCGCGAAATCACAAAGCCCTACCCCAACCTACCAGAACCGACCTTTTGCGTACTGCGCCTACAAACTCCATGCTAGGGCTAATAATAAGAATCTACACATCCGGTAGGTTATGGTGGTAAACCCTAAACCCTAAACCCTATAAACCCTAAGAACCCTAAACCCTAAACCCTAAACAGGTAGACCTCAGATCCTGGAGCCCTGAAAGCCGCAACAGAGCCCAGCCGGCCTGGGATAAACGAATCCTCACTCGCCGACCCGAGCGTAAACTCCTCACTTTGCTTTTCTGGGTTCTGCTTATTTTGCACTCATCTAGGGTGGTTTTAGGGTTTAGGGTTGTACTTTCAGGGCTCCCTGAGGCATTTATGAACAGGTAGCTCTGTCGGACCGTAAAGGGAAATAAGAAAGGGTTAAGGGTTAAGGGAAGTGTACCAAAGCTACACCAAGTTGTCGTCGTCTTGGTTTCGCAAGGGGTGCGCAAGGGCAGTAGTTTGGTTTCAGGGTGGTACTGTAAAGCTCTGCTATATCCAGATCTTCCAATATCCCTTAACTAAGGAATACACCTCAAAATGAAATCGGATCCCTAACTTGATTTAAAGGCATGCGGCATAGTCAAGATATTTTGGAAGGTCTCGGTAGCACGTGCAGAGGCCAACTTCAGGCAACACGCACTTACGGCCACTAGGGATGTGGCACAGGCCCCTAAGCCCTAGACCCTCCACCCTACTCTTTTAGGGTTTAGGGCTTTCGTGCTTTACGCTTTGGGCTTTAGCCCTTAAGCCCATGAGGCCTTCAATACCATCTAATTAAGGTTTAGGGTTTAGGGTTGTAAGGCTTAGGGTTTAGGGCTTATAGGGCCATATACACTCAACCCTTTCAGAACCCCTGCCTCGGAGATGTAGCCCGAGGACGTCGCCGTCAGAGTCGGATCTTTCTTGAGAGCTTGCGCCTGGGTGATGCCGAAGGACGTCCTGGGAGGAGGCTTCTGGGAGGTCGGGTTTCGGGATTCAGCTTTGGGGCTCGGCTAAGCCCTAAACCCTAAACCCCTAAACCTCAAACCCTAAACCCCTAAACCCTAAACTCCTAAACCCTAAATTACTAAACCCCTAAACCCTAAACTTCGCGATCAGGTGTAGGGACGTAGGTCTGCAAAGCTTAGGAACCACTGTTTAAGTTCCAGGAGGTCGTACCAGTGTTTTAAACCGTAAACCTGAGCCCGAAAACCTTCTTCAACTCATTTCTCCGCCGTTAAAACCTGAACTTTTATCCTAAACCCCTAAACCCCCTAAACCCCAAAAAAGCCCCAAACCCCTAAACCTAGACCCTAAACCCCAAAACCCCTAAACCCCAAACCATGAACCTTTGAGTCGCTGCCTCCCTTGTCACCAAGCATTGGTCTGAAATGTTGGGCACCTCCTCTAGGAGTTGGGTAAACCTTGGAGTTTAGGGTTTAGGGTTTAGGGTTTAGGGTTTAGGGATGTAATTTAAGTTACCGAGAAAAAAGGAATCTATAGTAAATATAATAAGGTTTCTTGACAAGAACCCAGTTTAGGGCTTGAGGGGCTTTGGGTCGAGAGGTTTAGGGGTTTAGGGTTTAGGGTCCAGGGGTTCGGGGTTAGGGGTTAGGGGTTAGGGGCTAAGGGTTAGCGGTTAGGGTTTAGGGGTCAGGGGTTAGGGGTTAGGGGTTTGGGGTTTAGGGGTTCAGGGTTTAGGGCTTAGGGGTTTACAGTAGGGGTTTAGGGTTCATGTTCACCCCAAACTTGCCTCAGCCCGTGTTGAGGCCTTTATTTCAATAACCTCGCCCTGGCCCGAATGTCTATGGAGATCTAGATCTGCAACTTCTGCTGCATAAACCCTGTACGACCCGGCTCTCACCCAGAGTCAGGGAATCCACCAGCCATTAAATCATGCATAGACCTTAATAGGGTTTTGGGGGTTCCTTAGTATAGTTCTAGTATAATATACCCCAAACCCTATTCTAATCATTGAGGCCCCTATAATAACTCTAAGCCCAGTGCACTTTAAGGTCCATTCCTTTGAAAAACTGCCTTGGCCTCTCCGGGTAGGCAGGCCTTGTTACTCTGCAAGGGTTTGGGGTTTAGGGTTTAGGGGCACCTCCAGCCTGAGTGCCCAAACCCACAGCAGAACCCCAGGTAGCTAGACCCTAACAGACAAAGGGGCCTTAACTGTCGGTTTAGGGATTAGGGTTTCGGGTTTAGGGACGTGGTCGGTGTAGGGTTTAGGGTTTAGGGGCATACTATGCTAGAATTGAATAGGGAACTGTTGGACCCTGCCACCTGCAGAACACAGCACAGAGAATTACACAAACGGCCGGGCCACACCACTTCATATCGAGAATCCCAGAACGGTTGTCTGCAGGACCCGACCCCCGCCTACCCCCCCCCTTGTTCTATCCACGACCACCCCAGGTCTTGCCTTAGATAGGACCTGAACACGGAAAGTTATCTCATGTGCAAACGCAGGAATTGACCTCCCCCCCTTCACGACACAGG